GTTAGAATACGTCCTCAAATTAGAGGGAAGAGTATAGGGCAGTGTTTCGCTTTGGCCAGCTTGTGTGCAGGATGCAGCTGCTGCCCGTGCTCCAGCTCTGCCCTCATTACATCCTAGCGCACTGCAGACAGCTGCTGGGATCCTGGTGGCTTCCTGAAAGGCACTCAGTACTGACTCACTGCTGGTAGGAAGTGCTGGAAGCAAGCCTTAGTTTTGAAAAGTCTGCTTTGCCCTATTGGTCTGTGTTATTGTGCCAGTTTTATTTTAACAGTGAAGAAATAGAAAGCTGTTTTCAGTGGCTCTGGTATAGTAAATTTATTGGGCGCATTGCAGGTGCTTGTCATTAGCCTTAAGCTATCATCCTAAATGTATCTTTCTGAGTATGTGCTTATGTTTCTTTTTCAGATACAAAGACAGGTTTGACATAAGTTAGTACAATCTTATTGTGTGATTATTTCTTCTAGCTTGTGATTTGGACCTACTTCAAGTGAGCACTCCCATACTTAGAGCCCTTTGGCCAGTTCTAAAGACATATCCAGGAAAATGACGAGTTCCACGCTCTGTTACCGTTCCCTTTCTCACATCTATTGCCATCTTTTCAATCCCTTCTGAACACCGGTTTTAAAAAAAGACTCTCTCTGCACAATATAACAGATAACTGGTAGGAATACCCTGTGAAAGATCCAGACACTTTAATCATATTTCGGTTCATGAGCTGCAGATATATACGAGTTGTTGGCATGAGGTGTGTCACCCAGATGCCCTGCCTTTTTTTTTTCATTGTTTTTCATTTGATCGTTTAAACCTTGGTGCTGTTTTCATAAAAGGAAACAAAAAGTTGAGATACGAGATTGGGTTCTTTACAGTCTTATTCTAAGACTTTCCTGCAGCTTCTTAAGCTTCTGTTGTTGAGTCAAGGAATTATAGTAATGTATACTTAAATACATATACACACACATATACATAGATAAGAAATTATATGCCCTTAAACTTTTACATTTTTCAAATTCCAATTGATTTTCTATTTCTGACAAGTGAAAAGTATTTTTTAGTTCAGGAGTGATTGACTTGTTCTTACTTTCAAAATAAATACAAGGCTTTAGTTTTCTTGTTTCATTTGGAAGTGTTATTTTTTGAACGGACTCGAAGTGGGAAATATCAATCTGAAAGTTAGGCTTTCTAGTAAAATAAATATTTTAAAACAACAGATTAAAATTTAAGGTATTTAATAATCTTGGAGCATTTAAATCCTCTGAATATTATTAGTTGAATGATGATCCATTTATTGATATAGAAAGAATTGATGATGAAAGAACTGAGAACTCTAACGGACATTTAAATTAGTAATCACAGCTCCTAAATTAAGAGCAGACTGCCTGAAGCTAGAGATATAAAATCTACCAAGTTGTGTAAGCTAAACAATGAAATGGGCATCTTTTTCAGATCTGACTGGAACATCAGATCTGTTCTCACCAGCCAAGTGCCTGGTCAAAACCTGTGTGTTTTTAGAGCCTTCTGGATCTTTTGTGAAGCTCTACTTAATGCTGTCAGAGTTTTTAATGTAACCTTCTTTATGTTAAAAATGTGATTAGGGGCATTAGGGTAGAATATTTATCCCGATGTATGGGAGAGAGAAGTGAGTTACAGGACCTGCTTGGTGCTAGTTGTGCTGTACTGATACATGAAGCAGCAGAAGAACCTTTTTAATGGAAAGACAGCTTCTTTCCCAGCTTCTTTAGAAAAATGAAATCAGAATAAGGGGTGTCTTGAGCCACGTTTTCCTCCAGTGCTACAGAGAGAAAGTAGCTCTGAAGGCAGAGAGGCTCTGAAGAATTAATTTATTGGAAGAGCAGTTCTTTTCTGTTGCCTCTTCTGTCAATAGTTTCTTTTGTACAGAACAAATGTGTCAGAAGAAACATTATTGAACCAGATAAAGCGATGCCTTACATTTAAGATAAGAGGACAGAGACAAGGGTGGCAGTTTGAACTCCACAGGAAATGCATTATCTGCTTCTGCAGCCCCTCTTTGTCAATGGCTCTGTCACCAACTCAAGCCTTGCTTTCTGCCTGCTGCCCCTCGCCTGCCTCCAGCCAGCAGCTAGCAGGGCCTGGGGCTGCCTCCATCCTGCTGCTCAAATGGTGGGCAACACTGCAGCGCCATAACATTGCCATCATTGTTGCTCTGTGTGTGTTGCATCATAAATACCAATAAATATAAATGCAAATCAAATACGAAGGGAGAGGCGCGTTGTTTCCAAGGTCCTCCACAAGCCAAGTTCCAGCTCCTTTGTGACCTGAACGACAGAAATGGCCGTACAGATGGAGCTGTGTACCTGGAAATTTCCTCACACCCTGTGTCTCCTGATGACACGAGCTAGTGGGAATGGAGCCAAATAAGGGCCGTGTGAGGTTTGGGGGAGGATGCTGGGGATGTTGTTTGTCAGCATGGGAGGGAGCTGATCTGTGTTGTGTGAAAACAAGAGGGGTTTGGGGTGGAGTTAGCGAAATTAAGTGGCAGCCTGGTACTTCTGCTAGTAAACGAGCTGTGTGCTGAGGCAAAGCTTCATTGTGAAGTAGCACAGGTCTCGTCTAGACTAGCTCTGTAGCCTTGCAGACAAGGTTGTTTGGTCAGCATCGCTTAGACTTGAGTTCTGTGCAGCAGGGGTGACCTCCATGTGCTTGTTCATGGGCACAGTGTCTTTTGGTGTGTATCAGCAGTACTGTAAAACAAAGAAGGATCTGGAACGCTGACAGCTTGCTGTAGGCTCACGTAGAAATAGCGCAGGAAACCTTGCTACACAGTAAAACAAAGCAGCAGTAGCAGTAGTTGTGATGGAAAGACATAGAAAACAAGAGGACTTTTGAAGCTGTTATCATGGATTTTAGTGCTCTTCATCTTGATGGCATTAGGCACAGTGATTGCTGATGGCTTCTGCTGTAATGCACTCCTGACAACTTTCAATGTAGTAGACAGGATTGCCCCAATTTATTGTTGCATCTCTTACTGCTGAGCTGTACACCTAAGGGGCTTCTCTTTAGCCTTGTGAGAAGTGGGACTTGTAAGACGTCTGCAGAGACAACATGGTGGGATTGCAAATTGTCCATCTCTGAAAGCAGTAGACTTCTGTAACCTCAAGAAAAGCATAAATCACTGTCCTGGGGCTTTCACAGACAGGTGGTAAGCCTTCTTCGTGTTAGTGAGCTGATGCCACAAGTCCCAGCAGTTCTTTTATACAGAGGCAACCTTGTAGAAAGGTGTCAGCACTGGTGGTGACACGGCTGCATGTGAAGCAGAGGTGTGGAACTGAATTCCTCCTTGTGGAAGAAGTTGCACCCATTGGCATTCACTGATGCTTGCTGTACGTTTATGGAGAACAAACAGCAGATGTGAGCACAGTGAGGGGTGGGTGCCGCGTTACAGCAGTGGTGACAGCAGCAGTGGGTCACCAATCTGCTGGTGCAGATTATTACAGGTGTGGCATGCAGGCTCTTGTTCATTGCTGGTGAAAATGCATTGCTACTGGTGGTGATTATGTGGAAAAACGGTGTTCTGTAGCTGAGGGTTTGCTCTGTGAAGTAGTGTTATTGTGCTCTATGTATCTGTTATGTTTTCCAGGGAAATAAATAGGACATGTTACTTTTGGAGCAACCTACATATAAAGAGCTGTAATTATTGTTTGTGCCTGGTAAGTGCTTGTACAGAGATATTTGGATTGCTTGCACTAGTTGCAAAGCAGCGCAGAGGTGGTTTTGTCCTAGGAGTAATGGAAGATACTTTGCCTGATGTAAAACTGTGGGGTCTGGATTAAAATGGGCCTTTCCCTCGTCAGACCTTATGTTCCTAACTTGAAAGCTCAAATAATTTGTGGATATCTCTGTTGCAGGTGATTTGTAGTGCTAGGATTCATCTTTTTCATTTAGTGAAACATGCTGTTTGACTTAGCCTTGGTCAGTTATTACAGGCGAGTTTGTAGTGTGGCAGCTCTCTGGAGACCCTGCTCATAGCTTCTCGTTGGCCTAAAAGAAAGGATTTAATGATTTTCTTCTTCTATGTTTGGTTTTAGGGTGTAGATATTTTATAAATGTGAGTCAAAGTACTTACTGGTGACATTCTACAAATTTTCGTTCTGTTTAGTCTTTGAGTAATGTTTTTAGATTCGTATATGTTGTGGCCTTTGGCATTTGGGACTGCTGTGTCTCCAGGATATCTTTGCGGATTTTGTCTTTAAATGGATTCTACAGCTCTTCTGTGATTTGTTTTTACAAAAGTGGTGCTGATCCCTGAAATAAGTCCCACCCTCCCTAGCCACACACACCAGCAGTGTAGATGCACAGCAGGAGACCCCGGGGGAGAATACCTGCTGTGGTGGTAGCCAAAGGCTCTGTTACAGCCAGCCAACAATCAGAGTTACTTGTCTTCTGCTCGAGAGCCATAAAAGAGCTTAGCTGTATGGATTGATAGGTCTCAGTGATTGGTAAAGTTGATCAAGTGGCTTTATGTGTGCTGTAGATCTCTGTAAGTTAAGTAACAGAAATAAAATTTCCAAAACCACAGACTTGGATTTGTAACTGCCTTGCAATTGATGTAGATTTATAGATGCCTTGCTGTGATCAGGATTACCTTCATCATCAAATGCCTTTCAAGAAGGAGGAAGTGGGTGTGAGAAAACCAGGATCTTGAATAGCACCTTGAAATTAATCTGAAACAAACACAGATTACTGACCACACACATATTACTGTCCTATAAGTGAATCTGTACCTTAAATAAACACAACTTTAAGTTTCTGTTCCTATTTGTTTCAACTTCTGTAATTATGACCTCGGAGCTAAGCTTTAACATTCACTTTCTTCATTTCTTCACCTGGTATTTCTGCTTACAGAAATATTTGTGTGGAAGAAAGACTTTTGGGATACTGTGCCCATCCAGGAAATCTCAGCATGATTAGTAAAGGCTTTGTTAATTTTTCCTGATCGCCAAACTGTTGGAATTTTCTTTCAGATGATGTCAATCCTTATGAACAGCATCAGTTTGGAAGACTGCAGGAACCAACGGTCTGTGTCAGGACCACTGCTTGGACTTATAGCTCTAGATGAGAAGGTGAGCATTTAAGAGGTTCTTCCAGGTGCACTCTTTGAAATCATTATTTCACTTCAGAACAAAGCTGCCTGTGGCTTTTTGGAATCCCCTCCCTCTTTCCTTGGAACCTAACTCACTTAGCCCCATGCTAAGAGTAAAGCTCAGCTCATGTACCAGGTAATATTTTACAGATTTGTTCACAAAGGCTGAGTGGCTTCATTTTTATGAGAGAATCTTCTCAAACTTTACCCCAACTTTTACACACAATCTTAGATTATGCAAATATAGCAAACCTCTTTTTATTATTATTATTATTGTTATTATTATTAATAGATTTTAAATCTTTGTTTTTCCAGAATAAGGTAGAAATGATAGGCAAGCTCATCTGGCTTTTAGATACAGCACTGAAACAAGAACACTGTGGAAATCACGTCAGAAAAAAATTGCTTCCTAGAAAAATAGTTAACCAATTCCTTCTTCTGAAAGGTTTCACAGGAACAAGCAGCTTTGAGGATATTATCTGAGCTCTTACACTTAAGTACCAGCATTGATTGCAATTTGGATTGTGTTCATCTGTGGCAAATCATATAAACCAGGAAATACTCTGCAATTTGCCCTTTCAATAAAATCTGAAACTATGAATTTGGATATACCCATCATGTTTCCCTTGTGACTTAATAGAGACAATATTGTCAGAAATGGAAACCATCTGAGTAAATGAATGCGAATCGATTTAAATGTGTGCATTTTTTTGTATAGCCAGGCATTGTTCCTGAAGATACTGACCTGTTGTATTTGCCACAGTTCAGAGCTGGCTCTAACTTTATTCTGAATTGCTTTATATCTTGGGCAGTCACAAGCCTCAGTGTATTACTGCTTTGGAGAATGAATTGTCTATACAATAAGAGGGTGCTGGAAAAAAATAAGACACTAAGATTAGCAGCAACTGCATACATTAAAATTCAAACTGAAATCCCAGCTATGGAAGGAAACTAATAGAAGAAGAAAATATATCAAGAAGAGAAGCGCTGTCTCATCATTCACCTGTGCTGAAGGATCCAATTTTAGCCATATCCAATAGCACTGTCATTCATCTTCTTGGTGTGTTATTGTGATTTAAATCCAGGCTCTATAAGAGAGAGCAGTTCTTTTAAAATGATTGAGAGGGAATAAGGGCAAATTCAGTGTTTAGGAAAACTTTATGACATCACAATATTATACTTTACAGATGGAAGCAATATTTCCTACTTTGGAAGGAAAACTAATCATTTTCTATCTGCTCTGAGTCACTGCATCATTATAAAAGTGGGAAATAAGTAGCTTTGTGCGTTCCCAATCTTGTTCAAGACGACACTTTTGTTTATATAATGCTTCTGATTTATAGCGTTTAAGTATTAGCCTGACTACATATTAATTATGTGTTTTTTGATGTTAGCTGCTTCAGTATGAGAAGAAATTAAATATTTCACTTGAAGATAAAACTGTGGAGCTGTAAATCACAAGAAATAAATTTGTGACTGGCAGAATATTCTTTTTACTGAAATTAGACTGGTTCTAATGATTATGTGTTTTGCTTAGCAGACACAGGTACGTACAAGCGCCGTTACTTATCAGCAAGCCTTCCATTTCTTTTGGAAGGATGGAGAACAGGAAATATAATTCACAGTATTTGCATGCCCGTTTTGCATGGAGCATATTATTTTGTGTTCAGAAACAAGTAGGTGATGTACTTAGATGTGGCTGTAAGAGTCATCTTTCCTCGGCTCGTTTCAGTACACCGCCAGCTTATTTATTGGAAGCAGATTGCTTTATTTCAGGTGGGGTATCAGTCTGTACAGTTCCTGTGGTAGCAAGCACACATTAACCACATTTTACTTTTATTGTATGTTCTCTACTTTCGTTTTAATGATACTTCCCTTGCCGATAGTTCGTCTCAAAGGGAAGGCGGCAGGTTTACCTGGGGACTCAGAAAAGCTAGGATTCATACTTGCTTGTCTTTATAGGCTGAGTTACGCCAAAATGGGAGTTGTATACAGAGCCCACCCTAAAACAATGCCGAATCTTTTGAGACAGCATCAGCTTGCTATCAAATGAGATGGTTTCCAGTGGCTCCTGACATCATTCCTCTCCCAAAGTGAGGCAGCAAGTTTAATTTAAATCCTGATGGCAGCCAGGATCCGGGCATCTCCTTCTTGCTATTCTTCAACAAAGAAGATCACAAGCATGTGTGTGCATGGGCAGAAGTGATGTTATTGCAGAGAAGCCCTAGAAGCCCCTGGGCTCAGAGCAGCTCTGTAGTGCTGGAGCAGCGATGCCATGGGAGAGTCCTCAGCAGAGGCTGTCGGCGGGGATGTTGGACAGAGGTGTAATTCCTTGCTGTTAGGGAGGGTATTGGTAAGACTTTCTGTTGTGGGGTTGACGAAAGAAGCTCTTGGAACACCTCTGTTCCAAAACTGTGAGTACCAGAGAGGATCTCAGGATTGCAGCCTTTTCTAGACTGAACTCTGCATTTGTCACCTTGAGAGAATGCTTTGGGGAACGTGTTTGTTGCAGACAGATATTTCATCTTTTACTCCTACGTGTTTTTCAAGTTTGAGTTCACACATCGTTTGGGATCCAGCTATTTGATCAGCAGGTGCTGTAGCGACCAGCACAGAAGTGTGATACAGGGTGTGTCTGTTTTGAAAGGAGCTGGGTTGGGGGCTGGTTTTTCACTTCCTATCGTGGAATCATAGAATGGGTTGAAAGGGACCTTACAGCCCACGTATCTCCAGCCTCCGCCATGGGCTGATTGCTGCCCACCAGATCAGGCTGCCCAGGAGCCCATCCAGCCCAACCTTGGGCACCTCAAGGATGGGGCACCCACAGCTCCTCTGGGCGACCTGCGCCAGTGCCTCAGCTCTGAGTATTCCTATCATCCTACTGAGTTGTCATGGGCTTAAGACTAGAATGCCCCGATTTTACTACGTTTTCTTTTCTCGTATTTTTGCATTAATACAAGAGAGCTGCATTTTTGGTCAGAAGGAAGCTCATGTTTGAAATTTAACTGGTTTTAAACTGAGGTGTTAAACAAATCCCTGGCATGCATTTTGGCTATCTGTATGATACCCTGGTGTATCCTTTTTTTTTTTTTTTTTTTTTTTTTTGCCTAGCATTAACTTCAAAAGGCTGTTAACATTTTGCATGCTAAAAACTCTTTTCAGCCTTCTTTTAATGAGTTTTCTTGATGTGCAACTGAAATGTGGAGATGAGGTTAGGCTTTCCTCCATCTGTATGTGTGCCTTTGACCAAACTAGCTTAGCAGTTGTCAATGTGGTTGCTTAAGCTTTTACCTCTTAATTTCTGTTGTCATTCTTGAACCAAAAGGCCACATTCATTTTAGAGTGGCTCCTATATGTCTGACTTGGTTACTGATGGTAAAACTTGGACTGGTGGAACTTTCTGTAGCAGTGTCTGTGGATGGAACTGCTATCCTGCCTTTCGAATGATGTGGTGTGGGGAAGGTACTGTAGAATGGAGTGGAGACCACCAGCAATACCCTTCTTGAATGCTGTGAACCTCTGCCAGGTGCTCGGGCACAGGTTCAGCAGAATAGTTCATTCACCTCTGAATAGCTGTCTCTCTCAGTGTTTATACTGTGGATGTGCTTATGCCCAAGGCCAGAAGACTTTGGTCTATGTAGTCAGTATGGTAATCACTAAACAGGATTATACAACTTCTTTGGCTACAGGAATAGGGTAGCTGATGACTCTGGAGATTGCATCCCATTCCTTATTGCTAGGCTAGCCAAAATTTGTCCAAAGGTGGTAAAAAGTTCTATTTTAACTAGTCTGTAGATTAACCAGGACGGAGTGGATATAGTAATACAGAAAATGTCATAGAATGCCTAGCTTCTAAAGAAGCAAGGATGAATCTGTCTCATGTCAGCAGTACAGTGGATTAGATCCTGCAGTGAGATGTGCAAACTTGCACCATTCAAAAAAGACTTAAAGAGGAGTTGGGGAACATTTATATCACCTCTCTCAGGTGGCTTCATGTGTTGGAGCTCAGAAAGTGGCCCCTCACTAAATTGTAGTCGTGAGGTAGGACTGAAGCTGGTATGGCTCAGGACACCTAAATCTGCTTGCAGTTTGCCCAGCTCCTCTCACAGAGGGCAGCCTGTGAAGCTTTGTTCAAGAATGCTCCTGGTGCAGGTGAGTAACTGGCTTTAAACTTCCAAATCACATTCCTGAAGTTCTCTGTTTCTTTATCACAGTACTTCAGTGAGCTGAGGGCAACTTTGATAAACAGCCAGCCTGGCAGCACACAGCAAGACCTTGAGCAATGCTTCAGGAACCTCATGAAAGGAGTTGAGCAGAAGGTTTCAGTGAAGAACAGAGGCTGGTGAGTTGATAACACATAAGTAGCCGTGAATTACTTCCCTGAGAAAGAAGGGTCATTCCCCATAAAAGGACTTATCCCTAGACTGAGCAGTTGGAGCCTGAATCTGTGGGTAAACATGGCAAGGGTAATTTTTCTGGTAACACGAATCACAGAGTCAACCAATCTTGCCCTCAGTCGAAAAGCAGAGTGGAAGTTGGCAGACTCACCGTTTCTCCTGTCAGCATTGAATGTTCACTGTTTGTTACCGGGTGGCTCTGGCCCTGTGGTCTGTGTGCATTACTCTGCCAAAACAAACCCTGAAATTATGGAGACACAATCAAAGTCCCGGCTGCGGGGCTCCCTGCAAGGCCTGAAACAACCTGCAGAACATCTTGGACAGAATGACTAAGACCATTTGCTGACTTTATTTCTCTAACTTCTTTTCTCTTTGTTGCTGTGGAAATTGGTGATTACTTTTTAATCCTTACATAGTTTTGCATTGATTTTGGACTCTGTTATTTTGTTTCATTTTCCTGTTAAATTCCAGTATTAAAACAAGTTCCTTATGGCCTGACAATCGATGAGAGGCAGAGATAGAGGGATTTGGAAGTGGACCCAGAGAAGCGCAGATCACATCCTTGGCAGTAACTCTGACAGACTTTGTGTAACTTGTTCTGGGTTGGGAGAAAACTGGGGGGAAAAGGCAGAAAGGCATCAGAAAGGACAGGAGTGCCCATTAAAGAAAGCAAAACAGAGCTGATGGTGGTGAGCTGTAGGACATGGGCTGACTTTGCAGCTGTGAATGCTAGGGGAGTCATTTGACTCAAAAGTCCTTCTGGATTACATAAATAAGTAAAACCACACAGAAGGAGAAGAAACGTGAACAGATGAGGAACTGAGCAAAACTCTTTGCTAGAAATTGATAGTTTCTTAGTTCTGTGTCTATTTATTTTTACTGAAGGCAAGAAGTCCTCCAGATAACACAGTTTTCGGAGAAAAGCAGGCTTTGATGTGCAGGTTCTCTGAGCTGCCTTATTTCTAGAAGCTGGACTTTAAGGGCAGAAGGGAACAGCTGGATGTGCTAGTGTGGGCTGAGGGGGGCGGGGTGGCAGGAGGCTGGCCCCCCACACCAGCCATGAGCCGGGCAGCAGGGATGTGGCTCTCCTCTCCCTGCCCTCCCTGCTCAGGGAGCAGACAGAGGCTTCCATCATGAGGGCTGCTGGCAAAGATTAGATTTGGCAAGCGTTAGATTTACATATATGTAGATGTAAAGCGTATTTTCATCTCTGAGCTCTGTGGAGCGTTGTCAGATGGGTGGTGGCGTGGAAGCTCTCAGGGAGCTTTTGTGGAATTGCAGCAGGGAGAGGTGGGTGCAGGTGTGAGGGGACGGGGATAATTCGGTCAGACAGCAGCTCGTCTGTCTGGGTAGCATCCGCCTGTCTAACTTAGGAAGACTCCTAAGCCATCACTTCCCAGCAAGCAGCATGAGTTAATACATGGCCGTTCTGTTTTCAGCCCTTGATTCGTAATCCTTGTCTGATTTATTCTGTGGAACAGGAGGCTTCTTTTAACGGTGATTGTTTAAATTTGAGCAGAAATCAATTTCCATTAGTAAGGAAATAAACACAAAAGTAAAAAATTATGAATAGAATAAAGAATGAACTCATAATTGCATCCTGTATTTCCACACACTTCACCACACTGCAGTTACGCATACTCATCAAATACAGTGCTGTGGAGGTAGGCAGGAAGGATTATTTCCCTGTTCCTGCCAGGAGACCTGGCCTGAGCTCACGTCAGTTCCACAAGCACCTGTCTGTGCAGCCCCGTGCAAGAAGGAGCCCCGAGGAGCCATTCTTTGGCAAACTTTATTAGCTTTGCTCTAGCGAACCAGCAAAGTCTGACAATCAAAGCAGAGAGCATTGAGGCTACAAACAAAAGATGACCCAGAGACCTTAAATGCAGCGTGCTTATATATTTTCCTGACATTTAAAATACTTTTTTTAAGCACACAAGCGGTATGTGATAAATGGCAATGAAGTTCTGTGCCAGGCGGGTGCTGGCGCAGTGTCTCACATGAGGAGGGTGGTGGCAGCAGGGCAGCCTGGACTTGGTGACCACCTGGGTGCGTCCCAGAGAGCCCTTTGCTGGAGGTTGGGGAGGGTCTGGATCAGGGTCCTCATTGCATTCAGTTCCCAGGAGACTTGTTGTGTGATTCAGACCATTGGTAGGCTGTTTGTAATGCTGTCCAAATACGCTTCTGAGTTCATTGCTGTATTGCAGAACTCTTTTCGAGAGCACGTGGTAATTTTTTTTTTCCCCATTTTCCTCTGTTCTTCTTTCGATTCCATTTCCATCTTCGTTATTCTTTTTACCACTTACTGAGATCAATGTCAAGTCTCTCCTAACCAACTGTTGGGTTTTCTTCTGCCCAGGTTCACCCAGAACGTGTCAGTGTTCTGAAGGGACGTGGCTGAGGTGCTGCGCAGTGAAGGGGCGGCCGATGCGGGCAGCTTGGGAATGAAGAGCTGACAAGGACTGGGGAAAGCAGAGCTGGCTAATAAATCTGTTCTGAAAGCTTTGGAGCCTTGTTATATTGTTAGATTTTGAGCCTTGCGGAAACTACTTGTTTAGTTAACTTCTGCCATTCTATATCTCTGGTATAAACATAAGGCTTTGCAATAGTGAAAGCAATGTGAAGTCAACATTTTCTGCCTTTCTTAGCAAAATTTACTATCTTGTTCTTTTATCTTTATGAAACGGTGTAGAAATAGTACTTAACCAAAGAGCATGACAGTGTGCATGAGGAAATGGAAGACTACAGGTGAGCACTTTAGACTCTTAAGTATGGCCAGGAAATTAAGAATGTTGCATATAATATAAGAGAGCTGATGGAGCTGCCGTGAGTGAAACACTGGTGGGATCTGAATTTCACCAGCACAAGTTTTCCAGGTCTTTGGAAATGGGGAGACAGGGGAAACCAGGGCAGAAAGAAGTTGCTAAATGTTATGATGCTGTTTAAACAGGATTAAATGCATCCACTCCAACAAAAAAAAGCAAGCAGATCCAAAGACGTATCGCTCATACTTACATGGCTTCTGGCACGATGAAGATGAATACATGCATCTAAACCAGCAAACTTGGCAGATTTGTCTTCACCTCTCAGAGGTGGTGAAGAGCTCTGTGTGTACCAACCAGAAACCCTCCATGAGTCTGCAGTGCACACACACAGCACTGCTCTGTGCAGCACAGTGAAGGGCCTGAGGTGGGCACAGGGTGCCAATGATGAATGAAGCAAGATCTAACAAGAATCAGAACTATTTAAGTAGTAAGTCGATCAGTTGTTAACATACAAAAGCTATTCCGTGCAATTAGATACTGTTGGCATTGGGCTGGGCTTTCTTTTTCCTTAGGCAAATAATTGGTTGCCTGCGCAATGAGGAAACGAGTTGTCACTCTTAGGTTCTACAGGCTGCACAGCTGAAGCCATTCCCTGCTGTGTGTGCAGCCATGTCCGTCTGACAGAGGGAGGTCCTGCCATTCCCCTGCAGGTGGTTCCAGGGCTCTGGGTAACTTGCTGTTGAAACTTTCCATCACCTCCCAGCCCCACGTTGGCATTTAGAGGCTCGGATGAAAGCGGCTGTGCTCAGCAACCAGTCCTCGTGCTGGTTTGCTCTGCTGGGAGCAGAAGTTGGGCATGGTGGAAAGCAGAGCTCCGTGTGTCCCCGTTGCTCAGCGTTCAGACTCAGGGCTTGCGTTCACATAAGGCTGCTGCCTTCTGTGGCACTTCTCAAATTCCACTTCTAACACTTCCCAGAACTCACGTCTTGTAAATGGGGCAAACTGGATGTATGTATTTGAGCAGCATTCCAACTTAGGTTAACAACTGACAGCAGGACTTTCTTTAGAGAAGCTGGTCGTATAAACAGGCTTGATTTTTGGTTTGGAGATGGATGGCAGAACAAGCAGTGTGTTTTATGATTCCAGGTCCTTTGTTGAGAGTCTGTGCTGTCAGCCTTGAGAAGGCCACTGGCAAAGTGGGCACAGCCCAGACTTTCCTCCTATGCCTCCAAAGGATGTGTGATGCCTGGTTGGTTAAATGCATTGTTGCCTTAAGGGGTTTGGGGTTTCTTTGTACTTTAAGAAAAAAAAAAATGAAAAAAAAAATGAAAACAATGGATGGAGAAAACATCAGGAAGGAGACTGCATTCGGCCCCCAGTGATTTCCTCTCGAGAAAGCAATGCAAGTCTGTCTTGTTCTGCTGACAGCTTGGGACTGCAGAACGGCTCTGATTCTCCCCCAGGTGCATTTTCTGTGGTCACAGTGAGGCACCGACAGCTGCACTGCAGGTGAGCGCCTGCCTTGCGAGGAGCAGAGCAGCCCTGGCACAGGGAGAGCAAAGCCCAGCACCGTCCTGCTGGCACCGGGGGCTCTGAAGAAGCTCAGCCACGAGCGGTGCACACTTTGTAAAGCAGCTCCTTAGACTTGTTAATGCTTTATTGGAGTTTATGATGACAGCGAACCTTTCAAACTGCAGAGGGGTAACGCGCTTCCTTGCCCTATTAAAAAATAATGTTGGTGTGGATGTGATGTACTACAGTTTAGGCGGCCGTTAGGAGTGCTTCTCTGACAGCGTTCTGTTTGAGGTTTACAGAAAGCGTAATAAAATATGTAAGTTACATTTCTACAAACAAAAGCCATAACATAAGTTATTTATGAGCGTGAGATCCAACCCGTATCACGATAAATAAACCTTAATGGATACCTGCAGCATCCACCCTAATGCGATTTGCCCAACCAAGTCATATTTAGTGTAAGAATCGGGCAGCGAGTGCAGGTTGGTGCGGCAAATAACAATTAGGAGAGGCTGGCACAGACCGACTGCACCTCGGCAGCCCCAGCCCGCACCGTGCACAGCAGAGCAGATGTCCATGCCCGGCAGCGCTGCCGGGACGTCCCCGCCGGCTCCGGCTCAGCCTGATGTTATCAGAGATGGCAGAGAGGCACCGGGCCCCATCTGCCCGTCACCCTCTGCGCTCTCTCCGTTCAGCTCCCTTCCTTCCTTCCCGCCCTCCTCATCCCACTGGGGTGTTGGTGGGCCGAGACGCGGGTTTGGAACTAAAAATTTTGGCTTTCCTAATAGACGTGCCCAAACGTGAGCTGAAGCCACCAGGGCACGCTCGGTGTCCGGGGCTGCACGCCGCCTGCAGCTGCTGCCCTGGGGGGTTATTTCGGGTTCTCCCCCTCAGCCAGGCTGCGATGCCCAGGGCTGTCCTTCCTCCCCCCGCCCCATCTTCGGGCCGTTCTGTGCCGCTCCACGGGCAAAGACGGCGCCTGAAGGAGCAGCGCGGCCCTCACAGCCCTGCAGCCCGGCGAGATGAGTTGGGGCCCGCTGGGACGGGAGCAGAGCCGGTCCTCGGGGCAACGCGTGGATTCCTGCATGCTGAAGCGCGGCCTCAAGCAGCGGAGCATCACGCCCGGGATGAGGCAGTGCCTCCAGCGCCCTGAAAGGAGCGGGATTTCTTGGCGGCGGCGGGACGGCCAGCTTAGCAGCGGGTGGGAGATGCGCTCCGTGCGGTGCCGGTGCCGCGGCAGCCGCGGGCCCCACGCGAGGGGCAGCGCGAGGCGTGGAGCAGTGCAGGGCGGGCGTCGGAAGCACGGAGCAGCGCGGGGAGAGCTGAGGAGCAGCGGCAGCTCCAGGGTGCCGGCCCCGCTTGCGCTCAGCCGCGCAGCTCCGCGGTGGCACCGACGTGCCCGTGGTTTGTGAGCGCCGGGGGAGCCCTGCGGCCCTTTCTCTCGGTGTCATTGCAGACATCGTTCCCTCTCACCTTAGAAACCAAACGCTTTACAAATAATTAGCGGTAAGCATTAAATAAGACAGGTAGCGGCTCACTCGGCTCACGTTACGACAACAAACTTCCCACCGAGAATCTCGCAGGACGGACATCGAGCCGTACCCCGGCTACCCGCGCAACTCCGCCCGGCGGTCCCGGGGGAGCGGGCAGATGCCGGCATCTTCCTGCTGCGGGTTTCGTTTCCGCACCGCTGCCGTTGTGCGGAGGTGCGCGCGGGGGGAGGCGGTCCTGGAGACGGCCGCACCGGAGCCGCACAGCCCGTCCTGCGGGGAGCGCTCCGTGCGGCGGCACCGTAACGCGCGTGGCCGCCTCTCGCCGCCCGCCGTCGCGGCCGCGCTGCGGGTATCCGCCGCCCCCCCCAGGCCGAAGCGGGGCAGCGCCGCGCCGTCGGGGCAGGTGTGGAAATAGCGGCTGCGCGGGGTTTGCGCAGGGTTTGCGCGGCACCGTCTCGCCCTGTGTGTGGGGGGGGAAGAGGGGGGTTACAGCGGAGGAGGCAGCGGGAGAGCCGCATTTAAGGATACCGTACGTCCCGGGTTATTAATTATAAAACGTAATTAAAGTAAAACTGCAGAACGTCAACATATTAAATTTAAAAGCTAATATTAAAATAGAGTTAATATTTAATCAAGTCGCCGAGCGGTACAACGCCGTGCGCCGACGCTCCGTATTTAACTGTGTAAAACCGGGAGAGTTTTCCCAAAGAAAAATGTATTGTTTAGCTGATTATCAAAGACTCCGTGATATATTATCCATTTCACAAAAATAATATAGATATCTTTTTAAATATAGTAATAAAAACATACTAGCGCCTTTTAAATATACTATTACTTACCACCCCTTTTCATATTGTACTATCACAGACACTTTGGAATTGGTTTAAAAGCACATCATTCATTATTCAGAGCTCATCTTTGCATATTATTCCAGCTCAAGTCTGCCAGGCTCCCTGTGAAATCGTTCACAAAATTGATAACAGCAGACACACACGCAATAAAAAGATAGCCTTGGGCGGCCCGAGTTCCCATTATGCAGATCGAGCCGCAATTTTCTCTAACAAAGCCCCGAGCCGGGGCCGGGCGCCGCTTTATTTATTTATTTACCGCCCGGTCGCAGTTTGTTTTTTGTTTTTGTTTTTGTTTTGTTTTGTTTTGTTTTCCTTTTTTCTCTCCACCCCTCTTTTTTTCTCCCCTTCTCCTCCCGATCCCCCGCCCCGTGGTCTGGACCGGCCGGGAAGCAACGAACCGCCCGGGGCTGCGCCGACCCCGTACCTCACACGGCCGCGGGCGGCGCGGAGCCCCGACGGAGGCGGCGGCGGCGGTGCAGCCGCATTCCGAGCCGCGTTGCCCGTCGGGGTCCGCCCGCCGCCTGCACCGCCCGGCTCCGTGTCCGCCCGGCCGTCGGGATTACGCAGCTCGGCGGTAATTGAATCCCGAGCTTTAAAAACTAATAAAGTGCCTCTGTGTCACCGCTCCCGGAATCGCGGGCTCGCCCTACCAGGTGCTGATCAAATACCATTACATTCTATTAAAAGGAAAATTCTATTCCCTGTTTTCATTTCCCTTTATAAGAGGGAAACTAAGTAAATGCATTCGCGCGTTATTTAATTTTTAACGCCTGTAGTCCCATTTGGACGTCGGGGAGAGGCGGCAAACTCACTTAGCGGCCTCGGCCGCCCCGTCGCCGATCGCCGCGACGCCGCCGGGACCTCCGGGCCGGGCGCC